ACTCAATCGAGTTTCTGCTAATCATTAATAATATACAGTTCAATTGCCATGACCATGACAAGGATAATCACAGGAACTGAAAAAAAATGCAAATCTTACAGGCATTGCAGAACTTACTGAAAAGAATCTTGTCAATGCTCTCATTGACCACATACTCATAAACAAGCAGCTTCTCTGCACCGTGCACGCAGTACCCGAGTAAATTCACTACATTTCTGTGTTGCACACGTGCCAACAATTTCGCCTCATTCTGAAACTCTTTCTTTCCCTGACCTGAGCTGTTAGATAACTTCTTGACAGCTATTTCTCTACCATCATCTAATTTTCCCTATAAAATTCCAGATACCCATTATACAAAATCAAGTTTTTTATTCAGAATTTTCACATAATTTCATCAATTCATGAGTTCTTACACCTACCCAATTCATAAGAAGTCAAACCTTCTAATTTTTTTCTTTGATTAGGAAAAATTCAAAAGCCCACAAGTTTACGGCTTACCTTGTATACAGGACCAAAGCCTCCTTCCCCAAGCTTTTGCGTATGATGAAATTTTTTGGTTGCTGCAACAAGGATCTCGAAAGGAAACTGCTTTTGTTCTTGTGCTGCAATTTTCTCCAAATCCTCTACGTTTTCTCCTTTTTAATTGAACGATCAGTAACATCCCGTAATGCCAATAAAAAAGCAAAACACAAGCAAATTAAAGATAAGATCAAGAAACAGGAGGGATAATGCACATAATTGAGAATTGTATGAACAAGAATCTTACCTTGAGTCGGCCAAAATTTGAATATTTTGATGATTTTTTTTATGAAGCCTTTGGATTTACTTTTGGATTTAGTCATGGTAAATCCATCAAGAAATTACTTGATCAAAAAATCCTGAATCTGATGTATGTAATTCTCTTCTTTCTCTTTGAATTTTATGGATAGTTCAATTTTGAGATACTTAATACGCGTCGAATTTATCCCTTGGCTGCCAAAACGGCGTGTTGACTACCCGTTCGAATAGCAAAATTCATATTAGATTCTTGTTCCTGTGTAGAATATTACTATATTATATGCTGAATATTTTGAGGCCTTTGTAATAGTCAACGGAAAAGGGGTCTCTTTTAGATATTTTGCCCCTTATTAGTTTAAATAAAAAATCAATTTTCAGCCAACTCTGATAAAAATTAATTGAATAGGTGAATAAAAAGT